TAATCACTGTCATTTCCTATTAACTGCCTATTTCTATGTAATAGGTGTTGGGATTTTTGAATAATACCAGTTTTTGAGTAAGAATTCCTTTTTTGAGATAAGTCATTGATTGGCAACAAAGTTTCTTTTTAGTCTAACAATAAGAGAATTATGTTAGCCCTAAAATCCTACATTGAAGCCCAGTCCAATCCCTGATGTAGAACGAGCACATGGAATGTTTATAAAAACCTAATGGGATTCCCTAATCACCACTCATTTCAAGATGTACCATAAAAATACTCAGTCGCTATACTTTCTGATCAGCTATGCCTGGTCAAAGAAAGTAGGTGTCTTGTTTATTGCTATTGCCCTTTGTAGCCCATGGCCCCTCCCTATTCCTGTCAAATGCACGTTGGTACACCCTACCCTTTTCTACCCCCATCTTCCACCCTCTTCTTTATGTTGAGTGGAATTAATGACAGATTGAATAGCTAGGACACTATCCAACTCTTGGTAAAAATGCCATTTTGTCTATATTGTAGTTTTGTTTTTTTTTTAATGTCAGAAGAACTGTTGGAAATGATTTCCTTAAAATTTGGTACTTAAAAAATGAACACACATAAATACTGAAAGTTTTATTTTTATGTTTGGCTAAGAGAGTATTAACTTAAAAATTTAAGCCACTTGGAGTTTCCAAGTTCAAGGGGGTCAAATTCTTTTTAAAACCCATTTGGTATCGTTATTAAAGAGCTCCAGACTGTCCTCTTCTGATCTCTGCTGTGATTGCTTTCTGATATTTGGTTAGGACTCAAGGAGACCCAGTCCGCATCAGGCACTCTCACTCACCTCGAAGTTACCGACAGTACCGAAGGTCCCAGTGCTCTGATGGAGAGCGGTCAGTCCTCTCAGAAGTGAAGTAAGTGGGCCTGTGCACTGGGCTCATCAGAACAGGGATCATCAGAACAGCCCACCAGCACTTGAAGGCATAACTGTTCAATTTTTGAGATGTGGCTGGTGTAAGGGAAAACTAAAATTTACTTCACCCTGAAATTATACATGGGGTTACTGACTACCACAGTGCAGCGCGGGGGCACCCAGACTAAGGCTGCGTTAGCACTTCCAAGCTATACACTGTGGGTTTCATAAGAAAAAGATGTATGACTGTTGTATTGTGAATAATGCAGTCAGATTTGAGGGAAGTCGGTAGCTTCTTTTTGATGCCCTTTCTTTTACAACCAGTATCATGTACTTTGTGTTACTTTTTGAGGAAAGCAACCGTCTCTCATCTTGATAGGATAGCTGCTTTAAGTGAGTATGCGAACACAATCATTATGCACCCACATGCAAATGTATTACAGTCATGGCAATTGCACTCAGTATTGCTGGGGAGGAATGCTAGCCATTAAGCTGTGAACTAAGGCTCAAAATGTTTGTAGACATCAAGATGGGAAAAAGGCTAGCCCAGCAGAGATATAGGCCAGGTTATTTTGGTTACCAAATATAGAACATGTCTTATAGCTATGTAAGTTTATAACCAAGAATGGACAAACATTTTTCTAGGTCTTAGAAACCAAAAGCTATTAATACAGCACATCACAGTAAGAATATGGACATCACCCCTGTGTTTTATTCTTGGTTCCTGTATTTGCTGTTTTGGGGGCAGATTACCAGAGTGTATTTCAGAAACAACTATTAAATGCCACACCTCTGTGTGTGGTGAGCACTCTATGGAACAAAACTGTGAAACGTGCTTCCCATTACACCTCTCTAGGTACTGTCCCAGGCACTAATTCCAACTCTCTCTGCAGTTCAAAAACAGATCTTGTACCTCCACTTCCTGTGACCCGTTCTTCGGATGCACAGGGTTCTGGTGGTTCTACAGTTCATCAGGTAAGTTAAGTTTTAGGTGTTGTATTGGTCACAACTTTGAGAAGCATTTTTCTACTAGTTACTCTGGAGAGCTAGGCTAATGAGTCTTCATTCTGAGATTCTGTATTTTAAATTTATATACAGAAATGAGAAGGGTACATGACCCAAGACCACATACAACTTGGGAAGGACTGTATTAGAACTAGAGTAGTACAAAGGCTAAGCGATCTGTTCCTTAGGACAAACACTGTAAGATTATATGATGCCAGGCTACAGACCAGTGGCTTCAATAATAAAGTGTCTGTGCCAGATTACATTCCTTAGGAACAAATTCCTGAGATGGGTATTTGTATGGGCGGTTTCTCAGAAAGTACTCTTAGGTCATTTGTGTTGGGAAGAGCAAGATCGGCTTTGGCAGGAGTTGAAGTAGTCTCAAAGGCATCAGGTAATCTCATGGGGAGTGTGGATGCTGTGGCTTTCTTTCAGATTCATACACCTGCTGACAAAGTGGTGGGACATTTATATACCACAGCAAGTCCTTTGGGAAAAGGTTACCTTTGGAAGGGGGATGACCTTGGATGGGGTATTTTCTCCTGTCAAGGGTGATCCCTGAGAACAGTTGTTTTGAGTTCTACAGCAGTTGGGGGAATGAGTGCTTCAGTCCAGAAAGAAATCTGGGGGGTTAACCACAACGCTCAAATTAAGTAATTTGGGAGAACTAATAGGTTGTTCAACTTTTTCAAATCTATGTAACTTTTCAATGAGTATATCCACGATTAGCATAGCTTTGCACTCAGACCACATTCCTATCTCCTTGTAACTTTAAGCTTCTGTTTCTAGAAAACAGAGAATAACTTACCTGTTATGGTTATTCTAAGGATTTAAAAGCAATGCTATTCTTCAAGGCTTATTTTGAATTGTTTACAGAAAGTGTTAGTTATCTTAATTTTTGCTTTCCTAACTATCCCCTAACATTAGTTATCACTTAGGAACCTCAGGAAACATTTATGTATACACATTAGATGCTGAAGGAATAGCTCTCACTTTACTACATACAGAACTCATATGATAAATGGCCTAACTCAAAACTTGCCTGTGGGACTGAAATGATTTTGAATTCAATACCTAGTGAACACTTTATAGGAGTCACAGGCACAGGTCTTAATAGGCACAGCTAATGGGCTGAATATAGTCAACTGCCTGTTTGTATAGCTCAACTGTAATTTCAACAATTTCAAAAAAGGTACTCTACATTTTGACCCTCTCTATATTTAGTGACTCCCAAACATGTTAGACTTGTCCGACAGGCCAGACTATTTCTGTAAGAGTGGACAGGGGACCAGCGAGGTACTGTGTCACTGTCAGGATTGCGGAGATGTGCACACCAGTCCTACTAGTCCTGGTGTACCATCCTGGCTCCCTGCTTCTTTGCGTGTGTGGGGAAGTGAGGACTTCAGTTCCAGTCCCCTGATGAGTCCCTCCAACAGTGCTGACAGGGCACTCTGTGGGGTGGTCCATTCAGTGAGCCCTTAAGAGCTAACCAAAGATCACTTAGCTCCCTACTCTTTGCATCTCTTCCTTTCTACTTGTTAAAGGACAAGCCTAAACCTGGATTTGTTAATACAGTGACACATTTGGGGGGGGGGAGCATAAATTGAGATATACACCAAACTTGTGAATAAAATTTATTATGCACATCATACACAGTTTGCTATATAGGCAGTATTTGAGCAGCTTTTGACATATTGACCTTATTTTTATAACTTAACCTTTTCAATGTCAACCTAATACTTTGACAATATTTCTTCAGTCTATTTCTCAAATTCCTTCTAGAGGAGAAATGGTTCTAAGGATAGCCTGATAGAAGAAAAATCCCAGACATCTACAAGCAACCTGGCTGCAAAACATACAGCAAAGACAATAAAAACTATCCAAGCTTCACGACTCAAGACACTTGAATCTCAATGAAACAGGAGCTTTGGGGATTGGGTATGAGAGCCACCTTTACTTTGAAACTGTGAATTATAATTATTCAAATTAGACCTTCAAGTGTTCCTTCAGTACAAAATCCAATCTGTGGGCTTTTTTTAAAGGTCTAATGACAGCATATTTCTGAAGGGTCGTTTTAGTTGATAACTGGAAGGATAGTAGCCTTGTAAAACCTCACCTACTTGATACCCTATTTTCCTCTTGGAAAATGAGCCTCGTCTACCATTGTAATACCTGTGTGAACAAATTGTTTTAAACCTCAACTTACTGAAGTGACAGAAATTGAGGCTTCTTATTAAAGTTCTGGAATCCTGGACTGCAGCAGCTGGCTAACAGTATACCAAATGGAATGAAAGATACTATCTCTGGCTCTCAGCCTGTGCAAGTGCAGGAAGACAGAAGCACCACTTTCAACTGCAGGTAGCTTTGTTCAAGTGTTTTTGTAATTTTGTGGCATTGATTTACAAATGTTATTTACAAATGAAAAAAGCCCTTTGTTTGTAAAGGTCACTTTCAATTTCTAGTGTCCTTGTCTTGTTTTTGTAAAATAAAAGAACAAACCTCACCCTGTGGATTTCATTTGACTTCAAGCTTAAAACTCACAACTTTCTGGCCCTCCCTGGTGGCACAGCAGGTTAAAGCACAGCACTGAGAATCTAAAGCCACTTCTGCATGAGTTCCATTCCTGCCTGCCCTGGAGTTGACCACATGGCATGGCAGACCTCTCCTGACCTGCCCACTGCTCCCCTCAGCAGTGTACTTCGTCTATCTGCCTGTTCTGCTCCCCACTCT